GCCGTTTTTGATGAATTTTAATGAAGCAGTTCAGGAAACCCGTTCTCCATTGCTGCTTTGCATATAACTCTCTGCTTGCGGGCACTTTCGGCCATCCCTTTCTGAATCATTTTTTATGCGGTTCCCGCCCATGAAGTCGCAGCAGCTTGCCGTCTCTTGGCTAATCCGCTGACATTATTTGCAAAACCTCGATTGATACTCTTGAAAGAGTGTGCCGAGATAGCAGATTAACTCACCTTTGGAAATCTCGTCATGTTTCTTTTTCTGAACTGTTTGTTTTAACGTATTGGACACAACTCTGCATGTCAACCCCCGCGGCGCTTGCAGGTTGAGTTGTCAGGTTGCTGAGCATTTTTCGATATTAAATTTATCCACTTTCCAGATTTTTTCTTGTTCTGCCCGCATAGGATTTGTAAAATTTTAACGCAAAGTTTGCTCTTTTGCTCGATCATATTGGATAACGTTTGACGTTCACGTTTCTCGCGAATCTTCTCAATATTTTCAAATTCTGTTTTCTAAATTTTGTCTCACACTCACCAACAGTGTGACTGTTGGTGAGTGGTGAGTCTCTTCATGCCGTTAGTTTCATCTTGCCCTAATTTCAAGGAAATGGTCCAGAATTTTATTTCGTCCGCATCGAATAGGCCTTTTAGTCTGCTAACGTTACTAAAGAGTTGGCGAAGTAAAACACATTTCTGGAGGTTCTACCCACCAGTGTTATCGTCCAAGTTCAGTCCAGTAGCCCCTGCAAATGCTACTTATTCCTCGTCGAAGGCGGAAATCCTTTGACTTAGTGCTGTGTCTGACCACCACCGCTGTCGTCAGTTGATCACACAGCAATTATTTGAAGACTGAAAACCCTCAAAACGTCTCCAATGAGTGTGCGCCCGCCCAGGAGTCATGGAGGTAAATGAATAATTACTCAAAGAGATGTTTCTATAGCATTTACTGGCTAAAAAGCAAACACTTTTGGCATCCGGATCCCAAGATCACACGGTCTTAGAGCTGGTTGGAATGACAGACCGGAGGATAGAGGTGCAAAAATGTCCTCACCCTCGTTGCCGACTGTGGACGGGTATTTGGTGAAGCAGATGTTGGATGAGATGGCCTTCCTAACACTGCGGCTGACACGCACTAACTCTTCCGCTCACCCAGCTGTTGTCGTTCTCTTTCGCGACCTAGCGCCACC